AGTCCCTTGAAGTCAGGAGCTCCTCACCTGCCTGGGCAAAAGCAAGACTCCACATTCACCAAACATGGAAAGAGAAAAAAAAAAATTCAAAATTTAAAATTCAGTATTGTGTCGCAGTGGGGACCTGCCAATACTGTTTTTCTAAAGGGCACATGAAACAATTACACTATTAAATTTTCAGAAATCAAAGAAAAAGAAATCCCTAATGAAATACAGATGATATGAAATTCTGTTCATTTGCAAAGTATGCATACACTATGTGAAGTAAAAGTCCTTTACTTAGAATGATTCTGTTTGTGCATAGTCAGATGTGAGGGGACATTCAGCTCACTATGAATTGAAGGTAAAGATACGGTTTTACGTTAACATTTTTGTTTTTTAGGCAGTTTTCGGCCAGGGCTGGGTTTGAACCAGCTGCCTCCTGCATATGGGGCTGGTGCCCTACTCCTTTGAGCCACAGGCACCGCCCACGTTAACATTTTCTTAACCATTTCATCTCCTATATAGCTGGAGGGCAACTGTCCAACTGATAACGCTAGATTTTTATATAGGTCTAGGAATACTTTTAACAGTGTGGAGAGGGTGGGCAAAAAAGCTAGATCACTAACTCTTATTCCCCTTAGACCAGGAATTGTACTGACCTTCACCTCTTTTTTTTTCTCTGTGCCCTGGAGTCTTGCCTTGAGGGTAAGCTGAGTCCCAGTGGAGAAAAGCCAGGCCATCTCTAGCCAACTATAGGCCTTCTTGTGTAGCTTTGGCTTGTGAGAGAAGATGATCTTCAGGATGTTCCAGGTGCTGTAGTAGCGTGCAAACAGCCATTTGTGCTGCTGGGTCAGAGCTGCTTCTCTGCATGGTGCTGTCATCTGTGGAGAGAAAGCAGTGTGAGTTTTCTGGTTGGTCTCAGCAGAAGCCTGTGAAAATCTTCTTCCACCTATTAAAAAATCATGTTAAGTGCTGCCACTGTTCTCATGACTTAGGGTAATACTGCCTTAGACTATAGTTTTCTCAGATATTATCTGTGCAGTGAAATAACACTGCCTCTCCCCTTTTCCCCTAAAGCGTTTTGGTATCGCTTAGTAGCTTTTAGAAGTGGTCTTTGAAGCATCTAATATTGTAGTTTGGTAATCTCGTGCCTGTGAGCTCTAGCTATTTTCTGATATCTGTTGTTAGTACTTTAGTCAGTGTGATGCAGAATTTCTTAGAGAATAGTCTAATTAATAATTGAATGACTGATCTGGTAGGATAAGGCTAGAATAAATTTTTTTCCTTAATTTGAAAGTTTAGCTTGTGCGACTTCTAAGTAGCTAAAGAATGGATTGATTCTTAGGTTGAATTGGCAAAGAATCATAGAGAAGCTGCAGATTTCTCTTGCAGTTGTTTTTCCCGACTGTGAAGTCTGAAGTCAAGGCGGGTGCTGCTGTGATGGTTTGGCACTGCCAGCTGGAGCGTCAGCAGCAGCTGTTGCTGGGGCCTTTGCTGAAGTCTGAAGGAGTTCCTGCTGTGCTATTTCTTCCATCTTGCCTGTTTGGCATAATTTCCCAAGTGAACACAATGCTCTGAGCATCTTCTGCCTTGCCACCTGGAGACTGTGTAACTCTCTGCAAGGTTCCATTAGTGTCAGAAAAAAAGTAATGTGTTCACTTGATCGTTTTTACTTGACTTCACACCTATGCTCCATGTCCCCTATCCTTAAATCTCTTTTCCAGTTCCATCCCAAGACACCTAAATCATTTAGCAAATTGACTTCTTGCCGAATGTGCTCATTTTTTATTTAGTTGAGTTCAGCTAGCTATAGTACTACTTAAGGGAAGGTGGGAAGAAGGAAGGGAAGAAAATCTTTGCTATTTCTGAATTTACATTTAAGGATTTTTATTTAATGTGATGTTACCATCTCACCGTACCCAGTTTCTTAGACCTGGTTTTAAGCAGGTCTCCTTCATGCTGAAACTATAGTTCAGTTGAAATGGAAAGAAAATCAACTTTGTAAAAGGCATGAATATGCGCGGATTTTTTTTTTTTT